AACGAACATAAATAAATATTATTTGAATTCAAAGTAAATAAATAAAAGATAATATATTAAACTTAATATATAAACGAACATAAACGAACATAAACGGACGGTAAATGAACGAACGTTCACGAACATAAACGAACGAACGAGACTCTTGTTCATGTTCGTTCGTTTAACTAAACGAACAAAAAAAAAAATAGTTCATGTTCGTTCATTTATTAAATAAACGAACATAAACAAACTTCCCGTCGAACGGTTCACAAACGGTTCGCTGAATGTTCGGTTCGTTTACAGCCCTATCGGTACTATAAAAACCATATTTTTTGTAATTATTTTTAGATGTATAGTATACTGTATTAATTTTATGGTGCCACCGTTTGAATTTTTTTTTTGGGTCCGTCCCTAATACTACAAGGAACCTAGTAAAGAAGACTAAATCAATCAGTATCCAAAGATTGGATCTCACATTTAAATTTTTTTTCAAATGATTAAACTCATATATATATATAATTTATGTTAAAATATATTTAATTAACAATATATATTAATGGCCTCATGAGCCATGAAGTGTTCCATTTTCTAGAAACAATCCCATTGAAAGAAAAAACGTTCCCATTGTTTAAACATCATGTGACTTGTGAGGCCAACCCCATCTTTCTTGATAACAATTCCTTTATTTCAGATGTGTCACCTCATGTTCCAAGATTCATACTTTTCTTTTAACAAAAGCAAACTAATAGAGAAAAAAACAATCAAGCGATCCACGACCGTAGAAAATTTTTGGAGGTCTTAGGTTCAAATCTAAAGAGAAATAAAAAACTTTTTGTGGTTATGGATGTTCAAATGTGATGATCCCGGACTACCTACAAAGCAGGTGGTCGTCTTAGGATTAGTCGACTCATATAACAGGTTGGATATCCAGATTGATAAAAAAAAACTCTTTTGTGGAGAGAAAAATATCTACTAAGGGGCTGTTTGGCAATTGCTGAATGGTTTGGTACAGAATGATTAAGTGGTCAGAATGATTAAAATGCTCTCATGGTATAATATAAAATGAAATATAATTGTTTGGTAATTGTGTACAATGAAATTAGGGCTCATAATGGTTAAGGGAGATCCAAGATACAAAATCATTTAGAGGGTTTTAGAACCATTAAGAGTTAGATTCTTTTTTATCAAACAAGATTTACCTCTTAACGATTCTTTGGTTTATTTGTTTGTGTTGGCGTGAATGTCACACGAGAGATGGTCATACGAACAAGATTTTAGGCATTAAGTGAAGAAGATGATCATAACTCGAACTTTTGACTAACATTAATGGAAGAAATCACTGTTCACACTCTCAATTCATCTCTCAAATTACAACGAATTTTAGCAAATATAGTTATGAGTTTTAGGGGCTGTTTACCAAAAATCTATCGGATAAGTGCTTACCGATAAAATTCAACATTATTAGTTACTTACCGGGTAATATTTTAGTCCACCAAAACGACACAATATACAATAATTTACCGGATAAGCTCTTACCGTGGTAAGAGGCGTCGCCTTCACTTACCCGGTAAGACTCTTGCTCCTTGTCTCGTTCTTACCGGGTAAGATTTTTGGTCTTTGTCATATTCATCCGTTAAATTAATGTGACTTGATAAGCGCTTACTCGGGTAAGTGTTTGGTAAGCGGCCCCTAAGTTGGTTTATTCAGTATTCAAATTAAGGGGTTGTTTGGCAGATTCGGAATCATTTGGTGCAGAATGATTAAGTGGTCATAACGATTAGTGACTCTCTGTATGATCTAGTATCAGATAAAAAATGATTGTTGAAAATTGTTTTGAATCAATAGGCTGAATGATATAAAGTGGCATCATCCTTTTTGGCTAATTTCATGCATGTGTCCTAGGCCGACGTCCTTTGCTCACGAGGCAAGGTTGTCTGGCGACCTGTATAGGTTGATATTTCGAAGTGCGTGAGTTTCAAATAATGTACCGAAAGTTCAATAATTAACACCGAATGCTAGTGAATATGATGTGACCTATTTGTGCTACCTAATAAAGCAAGCCTAATGACTAGGGGTGCTGAAAAACCCGACCAAACCGATCAACTCAACTCAACCCAATATGAAATAACTCAATCTGAAACAATCTGATGTCTAATCAATGAGAAGAATCAAAGCAGAAGGTCTTCCAAGTCGGCCTTCTTCCAAACTCGTTTTATAATCGTCCATTTCAAGCTTTAGTTTTTTTTTTTATCAATCTGGATATCCAACCTGTTATGTGAGCCGACTCACTACAACAAAATCGGGTTTATAGGACAGTTCCAAATTCTAAGCGTCCTAATAGACCTTTTTACAGGACTTAGTTTATAGGACAAAAAAATAAAAATAAAGTGTTTTATATAAAGATGTTGTAATAAGTTTATATAACGTCTTTTGACATCGTAGTAAGTTTTTTAGGACACTTTTAACATAAAGTGTCTCATTATCAACTTTATAGGACATTATTTGAAAAATTATCCTATAAAAACAAATGTCCTATAAAAAATGAGTTTATAAGACAATTTCTCAAAAGTGTTATATAAAGTTGCTAATGCGACACTTTGTATAAAAAATGTCCTAAAAAACTTGTAAAGACGCCCAAAAGCGTCATATAAACTTATTACAACACCCTTAGGTATGACACTTTATTTTTTTGGTCCTATAAACTAAGTCTTATAAAGAGGTCTATTAGGACACTTAGAATTTGAGAATGTCCTATAAACCCGATTTTGTTGTAGTGAATTGATACCCAACCGAGAGAACCTTATCAATATGATCTTAAATTACATTATTTCAACAGAAAGCATCAAAAGGTACATATGATGATGTAAAAGACGACTGAATCCATTCAGATCAAACTCTTAATCATTCCATCAACTTTGGCATGGGGCATGGATCTACAGAAGCATATGCTTGTAGCTTTGTATTGCCTTGTACAATCTCCATCTCTTCTTCATCCAAGTTAACAAATGCTTCTATTCCTTCACCACATTTTGTGTCCATTAAGGTCACCTGATTGACGAACATCGGGCTGCCATGGCCGATGATACCCGTCACCCAACTCGGTTCTCCCCACCCGAAATCGATTTGGTTGAAACCCATCTTGCACCAGCTTGTAAAGGTGTAGTTATCCATGGTCCCTCTGGAGCTGATTTCTCCCATTTCTTTGATAGACTCCTGCATCGCAACGTACCCTTTTTCGCCTTGTGCTTTGGTTACGAACTCGCTGTCGATCTTCGAAATGCTTTCCCGCACCTTATTCACCAAACCATGCAATGTAGGTTCGTAGTCAGCTTGGCACTTTGCTGTGGCGGGCCAAATCACGTTACCGATGGAGTCTTTCGACAAGGTTGATGCGAGCTTTCGACGAAGGTTCACCAAGTGTGCTAAGCGAGAAGGCTTCTGGAAACCACAGGTTTGTTTGGATGCTTCCATTGCAGACTTCCATATCAAAGCAGACACCACCTCAACACGTGTAGGGCTCTTCACTCCATTTGTAGTTGCTTCAGCTTTCAGTCTGGCTATGGAATCAGAATCAAACACAAATCGTTTCGTGACACACTTCCCTTCCTTCAACCATGACCCACACATCGCCATTGATGAATCTCTGAGCCACGAGTCTTTTGCAGGGAAGAGGGAAGGTGCAGATAAGTTTGGATACACGACTTCTTTAGCTCCACATGCCATGTTGGTCCATCCGTCTAGAAACGTGCGGAGCGCAGCGCCATCAACGATCCTGTGTGAAATACACAAGCCGATAGCGATCCCACCGCATTCGAAAATGTTCACTTGAACATTTGTTACACGAGCACCTGCACCAGACCCCTCGAAACTAGGTTGAAACGGCAACAACCCATTGAGGAGCTGGTGGTCAGGATGGCTTAGAAGCTCGTTGAGACCACAACGAACCAAAGCTATGGCGTAACAAGCACCAACATCATTGCAGTCGATAGAAAGATCATTCTTGATGGTTCCAGCAAGAGGGTAAAACTGAGTCAAGGTTTCGGATAAAGATTTCTTGAGAGCCAATGATCTTTCTAGGGCTTGGAGGATGTTGTTGCCATTGTGATTAGGGTAGTACAAGACGATTGGTACATAAGGGTTGATAATAAGCTGATCTAAGAGGGAGAGCTTGAAGGTTTTCAAGTGGTGTGGTGTTGGGGACGATGGTTTGATGCTCTCTTTGGAAATGATTTCGATCTCCATTGCTTCAAATTCTGGTGCAGGTCTAGAATCGATGGTTATGGCAATAGATATGCCACTCTAATGGCCCTCTTATAATAATGAGGATATGAAAAGACTTATACCCATTTTTTTGGAAAGTTATATTAAAATAATTTTAGTTTTGAGGAATTAACTTTCAAAATCGTTATTTTGGAGAAACAATTTGTATCGGATTTTTATTTTGGAGAACCAACTTTCAAAATCGTCATTTTAGAGAACCAACTTGCACCTGATTCCTATTTTGGGAAACCAACTTGCAAAATAATTATAGAAAAATAACTAAAATTCGTTTTTTTTCCAAAAATTAATACAATAAAATCTATTTTTCATTTCAAATTTAAAAAAAAAAATTCAGATATCAAATTTTATCACAATAAAAATTGTTTTCTACTAATGTAAAAAAATCAATTTAATAGAAAAAAATTTAATTAATGCAATATAAAATAAATATTAAATATCACATTCAAGATTTTTATATCTATTTAATATCACATTCTGAATTTAAAAAAAAACGAGATTTGAAATGAAAAATAGATTTTATTGCATTAATTAAAAAAAAAACGAATTTTAGTTATTTTTCTATAATTATTTTGCAAGTTGGTTCCTCAAAATAGGAATCATGTGCAAGTTGTTTATCCAAAATGACGATTTTGAAAGTTGGTTTCTTAAAATAGAAATCAGATGAAAGTTGATTCCATTTTGGTGCAATTTTTTCCATTTTATTTTAATAACCCGAATATCCAATCAGCTATGACTAATCCTAAGGTGATCACCTGCTTTGCAAGTAGTCCGGAGTCATAGCATTTGAACCTCCGTGGCCACAAGGGGATTTTTATTCCTTCTTGTATTTAAACCTGAAACCTTCTGATATTTTTGGCTTTTAAAGTCAAACTCAAACCAATCAAACACCAACTTTGTGGTTAATATACCGATTTCTAATATACTATTTAAAAGAAATATTGCCATGCACATGCCACGTGTTATATTTCTATATCTTACTCTGATTGCACATGTGTGTACATATTTCCCGGATCTCTTGGGATTATCTACTGAATGCATAATTAAACGGTGGGATTTCATTTGAATCTCTCACGTAGTTATCGTTATTTGAGAAATCTAGAAAGCTGTCATGCCACAAGTATCTAATTTATTAATAACCCATGTGAAACATTTATTGTACCGGATGGTTGTGACATGTGCGAAGGGTTGGATTCACGTAAGACCAATTTGTTTTTGTGAGATCTGTGAGACCACTTTATTTACATTTGAAACTTTACAGCAAAAACGTTATGAAGGTAAAAGAAAGCCGAACCTTTACATCGGTTTCCTGTGAAGTTTCGAGTGTGAAAAGATGGTCTCATGAAAACAGGCTGGTCTCACGTGATCCCAAGTCCACGTATGAAACATTTATTTTTAGCTACTTGAAAATGTAAGTTAGTTTAATGATTTAAGAATTTGAGACCCGATTTTATGTGTCACCAGGTGTAATATATCAGTCGTCAACGGTATCAAGGTGTCTCGGTTGAAATGGTTAAAATTTGTCCTAAACTCGTAATTACGTAAAAAAAAAATATGTTCTACGTACACCCAAAATGCAATATTAGATATTTCAATGATTTTCATAAGCATAATGTCGTTATTCTGGATCATATTTAATTATGTATATTTCACGCACCTTCACCAACTTCTACATCTTTACAATCACATTCATATACATGAATCTATTAAAGTCTCCTAAATAAAAATTAAAATAAGTCTATAAAGATAGATAAAGATCTTGTTGTTATACCAGAAGACATTTGACCTAGCGATATCTGAGCCTCTTGCCTCATAAGAGGTCAAGGGTTGAAACCTCACAAATAATGAGAAGGGTGTGTGAGTTTATTTATTGTATTTGTCGTATATAAAATATATTATATACTTCAAAAAAAGATGATTTTACGTTTTCCTCAAAACTATTATTTTTATATTAATCCCAAATTTTATAAGGCATGAACCATAGATACGACAACCCATCTTTCTAGAAATAATTTCAGATGGGAAAAAGGGCTCCAATTTTTTAAACAAAATGTGATGAGTGAGGCTGAGGCCAACCCCATCTCAATGATTGAAGATAACCATTCATATATCTGAGATATGTCGGTTCATCTTCCACACGATTTATACTTTTTTTTTAACATCAGCAAACAATAGAAACAATTAAGCCATCGACGGCATAAAAAATTTTCGTGGAGAGAAAATATCCACGACATGTCTTATTAAATTAAGTCGTCAACATGAACCACAAGGGTGGTGTCCGATTGATTTGAGTTTGGTTCTAAGATTGCGTTTGGTACATCAGACGGGACAGGACGGGACAAAACCCACTGTCCCATGTTTGGCACAATAAGGGACATAACAAGGACTCACTGTCCCACGTTTGACGCAACATGAGACAGAGACAAGAACTAAGACAAGGTGGGACAATATGAGACAAAAGAGGTTTTTTCTTATTCCACCAAAGATGGTACAAGATGGGACAGAACCACCTCCACCATAACCGAAACCACCTCCTCCACCTCCTCCACCATCACCACTACTACCATCAATTATATCAAAATTTTCATAAATTGGGTACAAATATGAAAATTATGTACACATATTTATTATTTTATTATTTATTTAATTTAGGTTAATTATAATTATTATATAATATTTAAAATCATCAAATAATTTTTGGGGTAGCTTGTCTAGTTCTGTCCCGTCCAGTCCTACTCGTACCAAACACCAGACATATTCCTATTATGTTCAGTCATGTCCCGTCCAGTCATGTCATGTCTAGTCCTACCCTCTTGTCATGTCCTGTCCTGTCATGTTCAGTTCTGTCCAATTATGTCTGCATGCCAAACGCTAAAGGTCAAAAGTACCTGGAGGTCCCAGGTTCAAATCCAAGGAGAAATAAAAATTCCTTTGTGGCCATGGAGGTTTAAACGCGATGACCCCGGGCTATTTGCAGCAGGTGGTCGCGCTGGGATTAGTCGGCTCGCATAGCTTGTTGGATATCCAGGTTAATTAAAAAAAAGTCATCAACATGAAGCAGATACATGACTTATTTTTGAAACATAAAAATATTTAATTTTCTTATTTAAATTTTTTTTTTTAAATATATCTATTAATTATAAACATCAGCGAAGTTGGAGAAGGCGAGGACACGATTCACTACAGGAAAAATGAACTTCAGGGAAGGTTTTGTTTTGTACCTACAAGTCTTAGAAGCTTCTCTAAAATCTTGAGAGAAGCTTTTCAATTCCGTTTTGGGGTTTTAGATACACTTTCAAAACTTTTCTAAAATGTTAGTCAATTTTTTTAAAAGTTTCTCTAAAAGTATTTATTAGTGATGTTTTTGAAGTATTTGTGACGGTTTATAAAAGTTGTTAAAAAATACTTTCAGAAAAGATAATGGAAAAACTTTTCTAAAGATATTGGCTTTAGTGAGACTGTTCAATAACCTTCTCTAAAAGTACCATTTTTAGTTACATTTTCAAAACCTTCTCTAAATATGATATTTACACAAACTCAAAATTTTCTCTAAAAGTTATCTTTAGTTACACTTTTTAAAAATCAATTCCTTCTGTAAAAAATATATTTTATATTTATTTCATCCACATTTTAGCTATATATATATATATATATATATATATATGGGAACGATCAAATGAAAACCACTCAATTTGTAAAAAATCGTAAAAACCCTAATGTTTCAAATAAAAAAATTTCATAAGATTAACGACGGATGAAAGTAATTTTTATGGTTTTAACAAATTGAAGTGGTTTTCATTTGATCGCTCCTATATATATATATATATATATATATATATAATATAATATAATATAATATAACATAATATAATATAATATAATATAATATTAAATTAAATCAAGAACAAAATTTTGAAAATCTCAAAACAATAAGATTTTATAAATTTGTTATATCAAAGACAAATAACTTTTAAAAGAAACCCTAATGTTTCAATCAACTCATGTATCTATATTTATATAAAAGAACATTCAAAATCATAATTGAATGTTCAACGATCTCGATTCTCGGAACCATGGTCTTGAACATTTAGTGAACATGAAAAACTCGGAAATGGTTGGCCAGATATATTCGACCTCACCATTTGTCGCAACTCAACCATTTCCTCCTTCATAAGAGCTTCGATTTGATTGAAGCAAGCTCGGACTCCGTCGATGTTTCTTGGAGCTCTTATCAACCTATCTTCTTTCGTCTTGCTTACCTCAGCTCGTTGGAAGTTTCAGCCTCACATCTTTACTCCTGCTGTGCTGTTGTAACAACTGCAAAAAGTTATTAGTCAGCTTTAATTCAGCACCAACTAGATTTGAAACCAGTTACTGAGATTCAAAAGTAGGAATGGTATATTGATTCCCATTCCATAACATATTCCTATTTTCATTCCGATTCCTTAAAACAAACCAAACGTCAGTAGGTGTAACGCCTTAAAATATGACCTAATTGTAACAAAAGTCCAAGTGAGACCAAATAAAGTGCCCTTAGTTGAAAAGAAGACCTAATAGCAGTTACGAGAAACACGTTCAAGTCACACGGATGGTGATCATACAGACAAGATTTTAGGCATTAGGTGAAGAAAATGACCATCATTACAACAAAATCAGGTTTATAGGACACTCTCAATTTCGAAACGTTCTAATAGACCTCTTTATAAGACTTAGTTTGTAGGACCCAAAAAATAAAGTGTCATATCTAAAGGTGTTGTAATAAGTTTATATGACGTTTTTTGACGTCATAATAAATTTTTTAGGACACTTTTAATATAAAGCGTCCCATTAACAACTTTATAAGACACTATTTGAAAACGTGTCCTATAAAAACAAATGTAAACAAATGTCCTATAAAAAATTGAGTTTATAGGACACTTTCTCAAAAGTGTCCTATAAAATTGCTAATGCAACACTTTGTATTATAAATATCCTAAAAAACTTGTTAAGATGCCCAAAAACGTCATATAAACTTATAACATCTTTAGATATGACGCTTTATATTTTTGTCATATAATTAAGTCCTATGAAGCGGTCTATTGGGAGATTAGACATTAGGGATGTCCTATAAACCCAATTTTATTGTAGTGTATACCTCAAACTTTTGACTAATATCAATGAAAGAAATCATAGTTCTCTCTCTCAATTCGTCTCTCAAGTTCCAATAGCTTTTAGTAGAAATATTGCGAGTTTTACTGTGTTATTAAAGCACGAACGCATCAAAATCGACAACAAATTAGGGAAGAAATTAGTCAACAAACAATATGATTTTGTTGGGTTTATATTACCCAAAAGATACTGAAAGTTTTATGAAGTCAGTGTAATATCAAAGATAATATGTATTGAGGTGATTTTTTTGCGAGTTACAAATCTCAACATCTAAGCTAATTAAGGAAAAAATAGAAGAGAGAAAGATACATTGGTACCTGAATGCATAGAATAAATCCCAAAATGGAAGGATATACTGATGTTCTGAAAGACGTAAAATTAAACCTATAAACGAACTCACTTTATGGCGAAAGCTTCATATCTAGGGATGAAATGTGTTAAAGGAATTTGACTTTGAATGAATTGAGAGTGGAATTTGACGGCACGTTTGGTTGGAATGAGTTGGAATGATATTTGTTAAATTATTTGGAATCTGCATGTTTGGTTGGTAGAATATAGTTTCAGAATTGAAATGAATGAACGATAAATGACCAAAATACCCTTTTTATAAAGATGGTGGTCGATGGTAATTAAAATCGATGGTGGTTGACAGTGGTGGTCGTCGACGATGGTTCAGATCGATGGTGGTTGACGGAGGTTCAGATGGATGATGGTGGGCTGTGGTTCAGATCGGTGGTGATTGATGATGGTTCAGATGGAGGTCATATATGAGTCTGGGTAAATTAAGTAGGGAAGATGAGACTAATTTTTTCTTTTTGAGAAAACGAGATGAAATTGAATTGAATTCCTTCTCAATACAATCTTGAGTTCTGAGGTTGTTACCGAGAGCCAACCATAACGATAAAAAACTATATTTTAATCAAATAACAATGCCCAATTAGCCATTTCAATCTGTTAAGTTAACCGTCACAACTTCGAAACCATTCCGAAGATTATTATGACTTTATATCACACGAGTCTTGCTCACGTGAATATTACATTTTTTTCAAACGAAATATCAAACAATAAGAAAAGATATAAATAACTCTCACTATTAAAAATTCATGTATCAGCAAGGGAAAAAATTCCTCACAGATCAGCGAAGGAATGAGTTTTTGGCCATTCCTTCGCTGATCTGTAAAGGATTAGCGAGAGAATAAGTTTCTGGACAATCCCTCGCTGATTCCTCACTCAACTTTATGTTAATGTGCGTATGTATATACACACACAAACATGATCATGATTACTTTACTTGATGGGATCTATATATTTGGATATTCATGGTCTGTGGCTTGTTGAATGCAACAACTTTTTTTTTTTTTAAATATATAATATTTATATACGGTAAATGAAACAAATAAACTAATACATCTTTCTTATATTTGGGGAAATTTGAACCCCTAACCTCTTATGAGACCAAAGACTATGATACCGCTAAGCCAAAGGAMTTTTGTTTAATGCAGCAACTTCATCATTTGGTAGAGAACTTGGATCTATTGAAGCAAATGCCAGCAACTCTGAATTGCATTGTAGAATCTCCATCTCTTCTTCATCCAAATTCACCCATGCTTCTATTCCTTCCCCATCTTTTGTGTCCATTAGAGTGATAAGGTTCATGAACACTGGGCTACCATGGCTCACAATACCASCCACCCAACCAGGTTTTCCCCAACCAAAATCAATGTCGTAGAACCCCATCCTGCACCAGCTTGTAAASAGGTAGTTGTCCATGGTCCCTTTGGACCCAATCTCTCCCATTTCTTTCACAGACTGTTGCATCGCAATGTACCCTTTATCCCCCTGAGCTTTSTTCACAAACTCATCGTCGACTTTMARAACRCTTTCGCGCACGTTTTTCGCCAAACCGTGCAATGTAAYGTCGTYGTTCGCTTGGCKGTCTGCAGTCGCGATCCAAAGCACGTTACCGATCAAGTMTTTTGAMMAGGTTGATGCGAGTTTCTTACGAAGGTTCACYGAGTGCATTAAGCGAGAARGCTTCTGGAAGCCACAGGTTKKTTTGGATGCTGCCATTGCAGACTTCCATATCAAAGCAGAWACCACCTCAACACGTGTAGGGTTCTGCACTCCATTTCTAGCTGCTTCGGCTTTTAGTGTGGATATGGMATCRGCATCAAATACAAACCTTTTTGTGCTGCACTTCCCTTCCTTTAACCACGAACCACACACCGCCATTGATGCTTCTCTRAGCCACAAGTCTTTTGCAGGGAAGAGAGAAGGTGCGGTTAAGTTTGGATGCACGACTTCYTTAGCTCCATRAGYCATGTTGCTCCATSCTTTTAGAAAAGTGTRGAGYGTAGCCCCATCAACGATCTTGTGCGAAAGGCATAAKCCGATAGCGATCCCACCGCATTCGAAAACGTTCACTTGAACATTTGTGACACGAGCTCTTGCACCAGACACATCGAAACTAGGTGCAAACGGCAGCAACGTATTTGTCGAATTGTTGTCGGGATGGCTTAGGAACTCGTCGAGACGACAACGGACCAAAGCTGATGCATAATAYGCACCAACATCGTTRCAATCGATAGAAAGATCATCCTTTATCGTCCCTGCAAGCGGGTAAAACTGAGTCAAGGTTTTCGATAGAGATTCTTTTAGAGCTAATGACTTTTCATGGGCTTGGAGAACGTTGTCGCCATTGTCGTTACAGTAGTACAAGACGAGTGGTACATAAGGATTCGATACAAGCTGATCTAAAAGAGAAAGCTTGAATGTTTTCAAGTGGGGTGGTGTGGGGGACGATGGTTTGATGTTCTCTGTGGAGATGATTTCAATCTCCATCTTCTCAAAATTTCCTACAATTCTTGGATATTGCAGAAGATATGCCACCCAAAGGACCCTTTATAGCCAGGATGTGATGTGACGTTTACATTAAATTCAGCATCTAGATTGGTCAAAAGCTTAGCAATAAATATATGGTTAACAATATCTGTAACTAAAAGTTTCCCTCACTTGATTTCTTGATCCGTCGCTGAAAGTTTTCCTTGCTGATCCGTCGTTGATAGCATTACCTACGAGTTTTTGACTGATGGACTATCAGCGATGGAACACCCCTTTAACAACAGATCCTACTTTTAAAATCGTTACTTTGGGGAACCAACATGTACCGGATTCCAATTTTGTAGAACCAACTTTCAAAATCGTCATTTTGGGAAATCAACTTGCACCTGATTCCTATTTTGGGGAACCAACTTGCAAAATAATTATAGAAAAATAACTAAAATTCGTTTTTTTTTCCCAAAAATTAATGCAATAAAATCTATTTTTCATTTCAAATCTCGCTTTTTTTAATTTAGATATCAAATTGAAGATTTTTTTAAAAAAAAAATCCAAATTACCACAATAAAAATTGTTTTCTACTAATGTAAAAAAAATCAATTTAATAGAAAAAAATTAATTGATGCAATATAAAATAGATATTAAATATCACATTCAAGATTTTTATATCTATTAAATATCACATTCTGAATTTTAAAAAAGCAAGATTTGAAATAAAAAATAGATTTTATTGTATTAATTTTAGGAAAAAAAAAGAATTTTAGTTATTTTTCTATAATTATTTTGCAAGTTGGTTCCTCAAAATAGGAATCATATGCAAGTTGTTTCCCCAAAATGACGATTTTAAAAGTTGGTTCCTAAAAATAAGAATCAGATGCAAGTTGATTCTATTTTGGTGCAATTTTCCCCCTTTTTTTTATAACCTAAATATCCAACCAGCTATGACTAATCCTAAGGTGATCACGTGCTTTGCAGGTAGCCGAGAGTCATAGCATTTGAACCTCCGTAGTTACAAGGAGATTTTTATTCCTTCTTGTATTTGAAATTGAAACCTCCTGGTACTTTTGACCTTTATAGTCAAGCTCAAACCAATCAAACACCATCTTTGTGGTTTATATATCGATTTCTAATATACTATTTAAAGAAATACTGCCATGCATATGCCACGTAGTTACCATTATTTGAGAAATCTAGAAAGCTGTCATGCCACAAGTATCTAATTGATTAATAACCCATGTGAAACAGGTTGTGACACGTGCGAAGGGTTGGGTTCACGTAAGATCAACTTATTTTTGTGGGATCTGTGAGATCACTTTTTTCACACTGAAACTTTACAGCAAAAACGCTATGAAGGTAAAAGAAAGCCGAACATTCACAGCGTTTTGCTGTGAAGTTTCAAGTGTGAAAGGATGGGCTCACGAAAACAGGTTGGTCTCACGTGATCCCAAGTCCACGTGCGACACTTTTATTTTTAGCTACTTGAAAATGTAAGTTAGTTTAATGATTTAAGAATTTGAGACCTGATTTTATGTGTCACTAGGTGTAATATATCAATCGTCAACAGCATCAAGGTGTCTCAGTTGAAATGGTTAAAATTTGTCCTGAACTCGTAATTACGTAAAAAAAAAATATATGTTCTACGTACACCCAAAATGCAATATTAGATATTTCAATGATTTTCATAAGCATAATGTCGTTATTCTGGATCATATTTAATTATGTATATTTCACGCACCTTCACCAACTTCTACATCTTTACAATCATATTCATATACATGAATTTATTAAAGTCTCCTTAATAAAGATTAAAATAAGTCTATAAAGATATATAAAGATCTTGTTGTTATACCGAAAGGCCTTTGACCTAGCGATATCTGAGCCTCTTGCCTCGTAAGAGGTCAAGGGTTGAAACCTCACAAATAATGAGAAGGGTGTGTGAGTTTTATTTATTGTATTTGTCGTATATAAAATATATTATATACTTCAAAAAAAAAGATGATGTTACGTTTTCATCAAAACTATTATTTTTATATTAATCCCAAATCTTATATAATATAAATACACACCTAATGTATGTGTGTCTATATATATATATATATATATATATATATATATATATATATATATATATATATAGTTGGATTCACGTTAGATCAGTCTTTTTTCCTGAGATCCGTGAGACCGTTTATTTACACTTGAAACTTCATAGCAAAACGAATGGAAGGTAAAAAGAAGACGAACATTTACAACAAAAATACTGTGAAAGTTACATCTACAGTGTTTTGCTGTAAAGTTTCAAGTATAAAAAAAATACTCTCACAGATCTTATGAAAACAAGCTGGTTTCACATGATCTCAAGTCTATATAATTAACAATATATTTATTCCCCATAAGGCATGAACTGTAGATATGACAACCCATCTTTCTATAAATAATCTCAGATGGGAAAAAGGGTTCCAATTTTTTAAACAAAATGTGATCAGTGAGGCTGAGGCTGAGGCTGAGGCCAACCCCATCTCGATGATTGAAGATAACCATTTATATATCTGAGATGTGTCGGTTCATCTTCCACACAATTTATACTTTTCTTTTAACATCAGCAAACAATAGAAATAATTAAGTCATCGACAACATAAACTTTTTTCGTGGAGAGAAAATATCCACGGCATGTCTTATTAAAGTCATCAACAAACACAAAAATATTTATGAAGCAGATACATGATTTAGGGGTCGTTAACCTAAATGCTTATCGATATGATTCAACATTATAATTTATTTTGATACATAAGATTTTAGTACATTAAAACATATCGAATGCAACAAGTTACTGGGTAAGTGCTTACCTGAGTAAGAGTCGTCATCCTTACTTACCGGGCAAGACTCTCTATTCTTTTCATTACTCTTATCCGGTAACTGATGGACTATCAACAAGAGATCCTACTTTTAGTCCATAGCTGATAGAACTCAGTTTTGTAGTGTCCCAATGATTTTATATACTAGACTAAGTGCATTGGATTCATAGGCATGAGGGTTAAGTTGTTAGAGTTATAAAAGAGACAAATTTCCTTTATTGTAACTAGAAATAGACATTGAGTCATCAGAGGCAACATGGTGCGGGCTCATGTAGTCGTACACCGACCATTAACCATACAATGTAATTTCTACTGAACGAGCACATCTAGGATTATCGGGCGTTTTATGCCATGAACTGAGTAAGGTTCAAATGGATGACCATTGATCCGTAACAGGGTTCATTAACATAAATACGTGGTTTACTCTTGTGTTCCATCTTTTTCTTGATCGCTTTAGATTAGGAGGTCGTTACCTATTAGCCCTTTCTTTTCCGGCTTTGGGAAGATACTCTTATTATTTATGATTAAATGTCATGTTTCTGTAAATTCAAAATTTCTCCTATTTTAGGGTGTTATATTGTCCTTCTCACTTACTTGATGACCACCTCTGTCTCCAAACCCATCTATGGCTGTCGTGGCTGTCCAGATACATGGTGTCTGGTTTGTGTGTATATAATACATATACATGAGAGAGATCAAATACAAACCAAGTTTGTACAAACCGTCAATTTCATTGTTTAATTTAATGAAATTGTTTAGTATGATGAAATTGTTTCATACAATTTTTTTTTGATAAAATCATTTCATATATTTTTATTATAATTGTAAAAACCGAGAATTTTATTACAATGAAGTGATGAACTAATTAATAGACCATACCACACAAGTCTTGTTCACGTGAATATTACAATTTTTTTCAAACGAAATTTCAAACAATAAGAAAAGATATAAATGACTCTATTCCTTTGATGTATATCCAACTTTTTTTTATTAACCAATCAGGACGATCACCTGCTTTGCGGATAATCCGGAGTCATCGCATTTGAACCCCCGTGGCCCCTTGATTAGTCGGCTCGAATAACGTGGTTGAATATCCAAGTTAATTAAAAATATATATATCGTAACTTTTAATTACTGACTCAACTTTCGTGTTAATATGCGTATGTATATACACACACAAACATGATCATGATTACTTTACTTGATGGGATCTATATATTTGGATATTCATGGTCTGTGGCTTGTTGAATGC